CAAGTCAAAAGGAAGACACCATTTTGAAGCATTGTGTCGAATTCAAATATGATGATGAAGGCAAAAACATGTTCACGAATGGACATATCTCTTCCTTTCAAAAGGCATACCATGGTTCAAAAGAAGTCATCCAAGAGGTATGTCCTCCCATCAAAGGGTGTGAGTATATAAATGAGGTTCTTCAAGAGACTTATGTATCCATCCAAAGGATTACGTATCCATCCAAGAGAGGAGGCCACTAGGTCGTGTCTTTTGATACAACCTATGCATCTCAAGCCTTGTGAATTCAAAGAGACTAAGGTACACCACTTTGTTTTGTAGGATTACACTAATGGACAAGGATATTCGAAAGGGTAGTATCTTGAAAATATTTATTCAAACAAGGTACATGTTGATAATCACTATTCCAAATAAATGACTTTAGAGAAAAGTCTTTTCATAGATAATCCTTTAGATAATATTGAACCTAAAGAGAGGATACGAGAAGAATTCTAGATGATAAATATTCAAGGAAGTATAGATTCAACCATTCCCAAAGAAAAAAAGTCTTCAATAGTGAAGTGCTTTGATTTGAGGATAAATCGCCTTAAAAGAGGGGGATAATGTGATCCTTCTTATACACCTTCTGCTATTTATCTTGCTTTCATCTTGTTTAGTAAAGATGAAGGACTAGAGAGCTTTTACTTGCCTCTCACATCTTTTCATTACTTAAACATCATATGATTACCTTACATATAGTTTATATTGGACCTTATGTTATGTTGTATATGTCATGATCATCATTCCTTACTATGTCATACATTTAGTCTATGTTATGATGAGTTTGATGATTATATGCCTTATGGTTCATACAATGCTATTATGGATTTTCATATCATATACTTAACTTATTCTATGCACTTTATGCTAAGATTAGTTATGACATGTTATAGTCCTTGTATTATGTTCATTACCTACTTTTGTATATGATAATGTATATGTCCACATCTTTATTTAGCTCATAATATGAATATGATATGTTTTTACATTCATCCTTAGCTTATTAGTATGCAATTAGAAGAATGTTTATTGTTTTCATACTTATGTTATTGTTTTCATGTCACACATAGGTTCTTTGGAAGCTAAGGAAGGACTTGGCAGTTCATGGGTCAAGTACATGAACTATGTCAGCTTATACTAGCTCATTTGCATTAAAGGATAGCTCAATCTAGCTAAAAGAAGCTTAAGTCATAAAAACACTAGCTCGGGAGTAGCTGAAGGAGCTGAACATGAGCCGAACATGGCTGGAAGGTAGTTGAGGACCTAGTAGCTGAGTTGAGGACTAAATGTAGCTAGAGTTCGTAGCTGAGTAGCTGGAGTTTCACTAGCTAGCTAGCTTGAGTCTACCTAGCTATTACTCACCTAGCTAGCTACCTCTGCACTCGTCTTGGTACCAATCACCTACCATGCACCCATCATGCACCCTATAGCCAAATCAACCTAATGCTTGGTGTGGAGAGTCATCTACATTCAAGGGAATTCATATGCAATCTAGAAGGTTGTCATGTACATCATTCAAGCATGCACCCACTATTTGACTTCAAGTTAGGCGACAAACTCCAAGAGACATCACCATTTGGCCTATGCATCACCAAACACTCATTATGGGGCCAAGGATGAAACAACACAAGCCTATTCCACCAAGCCTTTATGATCACTCATTCAAACTACACCAAGGTTGAACCGTTATCTATAAAGCATTCTAAAGGATTTCTGAACCAACACCTTGTTTACTCATCATCAAGGGTTGTAATTAATCATTAAAGAATCATGTAACTTCATGGAAAGCACACTTGCCGAATTCTTTTGTAATTATTCGATATTCCCTTTCATTTTCTATATAAGCCAATGTCTTGGCTAGTTATAAGGCATCTCCCTTAAGAACTCTTTAAGAAATCTATCGACTTATCAAGTGCCTTGTGTGCTTGTGGCGTCAACCACTTTCTTTACAATGATACTAATGTTTCTTGAATCATTTATAGCCAAAGGGCCAAGTCCTTTGTTACCACCACTTAAACAACTTATAAGGATTGGTGTTAGGCTCTTTATAGCCTAGTTTCATCCTTGTTGCTTAAGATACTCTTTTAACTCTTCCATTATTTTATAAACCTTCACCACACTTACAACATCATCCAAACTAGACCACTTCCATTGCTATCTTTCTTATTTTATTTATCATTCTAAGCCCACTCTTTCACCATTACATCAACTACAAAGCCTTCTTCTTTGAGCCTATCTTACTGAAGGGACTTATTATTTCACTATATCCACAATCGAGGCACAAATGCCTTACATCAATTTCACTCTTACTAGCATTGAACTACAAACTAGAAAACTCAAAATTGTTGCAAGACAGCCTAAATCCCAATAACATAGTCATTTTTACCTTTTGAAAAACAAGTCAACAAATTATCCACAAAGCAAAGATGGATTAATTGAATCTTATCACACCTAGGATGATGGTTGAATAACACACAAGCAGTATCAACATCCAACATTCTAAACAAAATGTTCATGGCTAACACAAACAAGTAAAGAGATATGAGATCTCCTTGTCTTATGCCCTTAGCACCTTTAAAGTAGCCAACCAAACCCCTATTCAAGACCATCGAAAACTTGGAGAGGTAATACAACTCTGAATCCACTCATAAGTGACATGGGGAACCTACAGAGATCTCAACACCTTGAGAATGAAATCCCAACTGATAGTATCAAACGCCTTCTAAATGTCAATCTTCAAAGCACAACGAGCAGATAGAGTTGTCCTCCCATAGCCTTTAATAAGCTCTTGAACAATAAGGGTATTGTCAATAATGTTCCTCACCACAAATAAAAGCACTCTGATTATTGGCAACTCATCCTTAAAAAATCCAGAGATTCTACTCGAGATAATTTTAGTGATGCGCTTATAGACAACACTACAACAAGAAATAGACCTAAAGTCCTTCATCGAAGAGGGGTTCTCCACCTTAGGAACAAGAGTAAGGACAGTGCAATTAAAAGCAGGATGCATATGCCCACTGTCAAAGAAGTACTCCACTGCCTGCATTAAGTCCTCTGCTCACTGTTCTAGCAATCTCACGCTTGTCTTCATTAAAAAAGGTAACCTTTACCAAATCTCAAAGAAAACCGTCAAAACAACTAGGCACATCAGGAGGCTCACCAATCAGACGTTTAAAGAAGCCCACATCCTCTGCAGCAATATTCTCAAAATCCTCCAAAAGCCTTCCATCCAGAGATCAAAGGCAGTTAATGGTCTGCCTATTATGCCTCCTAACAACCAAAGCATGAAAAAAACCAAGTATTCTGATCACCCTTTTAGATCCAAGTAGCTCTAAACTTCTACGCAGAGAAACTCTCTTTAGTAATGAGAAGTCCCTGCAACTCGACATAAACCTCCCTCTCCTAAAGAAACCAAGAGTTGACGCTTTTCATTTTATCTTAACCATTGTAAATTACATATTTATTTAACATTACCGGGGAAGAATAATAGAATGATGATGAGTGATGAGTGATTGAACGCTCATTTAATTTTCATTTTATGTAAAAGATTTCAACTTTTATTTTTCAGAACTTGGACTTGTTTTTAACAGGGGCTTGTAGTACTTTAATTACGATTTAACTTTTACTTTATTATTTTTAGGGTTTTGTTTATGTTATTGGACTTACTCTTTTTTGGTCCACCAAGCACTTGAAGTCGAAATTGTTCTGTAGATTCCATTTTAGAGGAGCTATACTGCCTTTAATTATCTGATGGTTTTATGATTAAAATTGAAATAGCTTCTCTTTTCCTTGTGTCTAAAAAACAAAGTGTGATCTGAGTGTGCTTGGGAAGACTTGCATTATTGCATACATGTTTAGAAAGCATGCTATGTTTTGTAGGAAATGATACTATTATAGAATGAACTTGTTTGCAATGGCGATTAAATAGAACAAAAAGATAAGGAATAAATCGATTACAATGTCGTAAAAAATTATTGTTTTAAAGGTAGTTTCATCCTTATCAATGTAAGTGGAAAGTGAATGTCATCTTTAAAATTATTAACACGAAATTTTTTAGATTTGAACATTCGATTAAGGAAGATAAAACTCGACTAAAATTACTCTTTTCACAAGAAGGGATGGCAAAAATCATATGAGAGAAAGGGACGAAACTACTGATTTTTTATGTGTAAAACAATGAACTCGTATAGAAAAAACTGAAAGAATAAAACCATACAAAGAATGGTCACAATTTTCAAAAGAACGGCAACGGACAGAAACAAATCTGCAACGTTGCAAGACATTGATTATTTGTTTGTTTAAAAATTTTGATAAAAAAAATTAAAGTGACAGTACCCAAAAAAAAATTCACCTCACATGTATTACATGTTATGTGTGAGCCTTTACTCTAATTTCTTAATAAATATAAGTATAAAAGTCATATATAAACACTTAGAAAGTCTACATCTACCAAATGTGTCACCATCAATTATTTGAAGTTTGTTATGATCAAACACCTATAAAATTACCTTTTTAAAATAAAGTTTTGAAATTCTCTTTTTAAATAATATTTTTAAATATGCATTTAACTAGAGATTAAACAAATGAATAGAAAAAAAAGAGGGTTGATTAAGTGTTAAGCAACTTGATGTTGTTTAAGCAGATCTCGAGTTTGAGTCCTTGTGTATGTAGAAAATTTCTAGTGGTGACGCACCCACCAAAACTAGGTGTACAACGCAGATCGGTCTGAACTAGTCAGGACGAAACCCTTGAACCGGGAGGAAAAAAATGAATATAGGATTATATTTAAGGAATGAAAATAAATAACATAAGGATGAAAATGAATAGAAGAAATACTTAAGGGGTGATTTTACAATTAATCCTATTTTAAACGCCAACGAATTAATCCCAGCCTCTAAAATTATCATCGATCATATATCAAATGACAATAGAAAGTTACAAATATGATGAATCACCCATACATGTTTTTTTATTACTCCCCTTGAATAGGGTAATTTATTTCATTTGAGACTTTTGCAAACCACAGTAAATAATTGGCCCATTATTCTAATTTGATTTAATTATGCAACGATTTCTTTTCACGTCGCCGTTTTTCCTCGGACAGTAGCTTTGCATACCTGCCATTGCCATGTTTGTTAACTTGGATAAAACATGTGCTAAACTGTAAATGGAAAATAAAATAAATAAATGTTGGATTTGGAGAAATTTCATGTATACCTCGTGAGGGCCTGAGCATTGGTTTCTATGTCTCCTGAAGGCTCATAATTACCATTCTCAAAGTTCACCCTTGAAACCGGTTTATTCAACAAATTTTCTGCAACTTTGGCCAGATTCCTCAGATTTTCCTTGGTTGAAACATCCACAGAGGAAAGCTCCCCTTTCAGCTTATCATCCTGTAGGTTTAGTTGTTCCAATTAAATCAGTAACATAATTTGAAGAAAAAATATTATTGCTTGAAGATGACTTATGTAAACCTGAATGCGGAGATAATTCTTCTCGGAACTTAGAGCTTTGAAAACCACGGAAATGTGAAAATCAACCATGTCGGCGCTGCCTTCACTGAACGCATCGATTAATGGGGTGGAATTGCCGGAGATTAACCAACCAATTACACCCCATCCTGCCGCTTGCTTTGCGTTGTATTTCTCTGTAAGTTTTTCTGAGCCTGTTCCCAAGGATAGCACCAAGAATCTGTTGTAATGGTCCGCTGCTTTAATGCAAGAGAAATCGGAATGCCCTTTGTTTATCTGCTTTGTCACTTCACCAATGGCAATTAAAGCCTGTGGAATTCAATAAGTGATTTGAGCACATCCCAATATCCGATACTTAAACACTTCTTTCACTGAAGTGTCCATGCTTCATAATCATAGGCTAATAGTTTTGTGGTGTGTTACCGGATTATTAGCAGCGACCCCACCGTCGATAAGATTGAACTTCTTAACCTTTCCATTAGTGTCTTCTGTTTCAAAATAATGGGCAGGAAGATAGGTTGGAGCAGCTGAAGTTCCAATGCAAATATCCGACAGCAAGGCATTCAGCTCTGGGCATTTCTTCACCTAAAGAAGAAGGGTTAAACTTAATTCAGTATATCTATAAAATAGTATATGAAAACTTGATATCATGACCAACCTCATAGGTCGAAAAGATGATGGGCTGGAGTTGTTTGATATCGAAAGCTGGAATTACAACGTTAGTCAAGGTCTGATTCAGCCTTGTGTTTCCAAGTCTTTGCTTGAGAACTCCATGCAGATACTTCCCGTCATATTTTGGTCCCATCACTCTACGAATCATATTCATAACACCAGAAAAAGGAAAACTGGTTCCAGGGAAAATCTTTGGGCCGTGCTCGAAGTAGAAGTCCTTGATGTCTTTGGCAGCAAACAAGGGCCGGTTTTTCTCGTTGGGAGCTGTTATCATGGTGGTGACGAGACCACCGGTGCTAGTTCCGGCGATCACATCAAAGTAATCAGCAATTCTCGCTTCTTCACCGTCCAGTTTCTGAAAAAAATGCAATTTCAAGACTCAGTAACAGAAGAAAAATGTTATTATCTTCTAGTGTCTGCACGTTGTCAACGTCTAAATATATATGAGAGCTAGGGTTGATGATTACTTGTAATTCAGACTCTAAGAAGCTGAGAACTATTCCTGGAATAATTCCTCTAATCCCACCACCATCGATGCTGAGGACAGTAATAAGATCTCCATGATTTGGAGCGTGCCTAGGGTTTCCACTAGTTTCCATAAGGAAGGAGAAGAAACAAGTAATGCTTGAAGGCTTAACTCAAGTTCTAAATTATGAAAATTATGCACTAAAGACTTGGAAAGCTCAAGTATTTATAGACCTTACAAGCTTCAAGTTTGTTGGCAATTCCAACTTGAAATGGATAAACATGTCAGGAATTTTCGTACTCTTATTTATAAAATATTACTACATTTCGTTGTCCAACGACCATAAGCTAAAAAAAATATTACACTATCAGAAAAATTAAACTATGATTTTTTAAGGATCGACGGTGGTTGAGGTGTTGCTTCTTGATATCCTAGGAAGCACGTTAGACACGATTGACATTAGAGGCTGCTTGAAACCTGCCGCCCACATTTGTTTCATTCTTTTTGTTCATTCAATATGTAGTTTTCACGACATTAAAAAAATGTGTTTTTCACATGGCTTTTTACACGAAAACGCGTACGCCAATTTACTTGTTACTATCCTTCTTTATTTTTTTGAGTAAACTATAACCGTGGCCATCTAATTATAGTCTCTTTTTATTTTGACCATCATTTTTGAATTTATTTTTCAATCAGGTCACCCAACTGTTTATATGCATTCAATCAAGCCACTTGTCGTTAACATTTAACAGAAGTGTTGATATGACAATTAATAAAAAATTTATAATCACACATTTAGTCCTTATTACTTAAACAATTTATCAAATTGGTCATAATTTCAAATTAGTTTAATATATTTAATCTTCCAATAATATGACAACACGTGTCACCAATGACAGAGCCAGGAGTAAACTATGATGGGGGAAAACACGAATTTAAATATAAGTCTGCTAACAAAAAAGCGATCGTTATATAGAGGTAAAAATTTCATTTGAAATCGTTATCGCACAATCGCGATACATGCAATAGCATCCACTATTGTCATAATCATGATAAACACAACGTAATCGAAAACACTACCATAACTATAATTTGAATCTATGGGGCAAGTTGTTTAATTTTAAAATAAATAAGACCTTCAAAAAGTAATTAAATCATAAAAAATAAGAGATTGATAGTATAATTCTACTAATTTTAAAATTTAAATGTCTTAAAAAATAATTAAATAATATAAATTTTGGGTCAAGACATTCTATTAATTTTAAAACTGACAGTATCTCAAAAGTAGTTATACCAAGAAATTTTGGGGTTCTTAATTGTAATAGTTTCAAAATATCCAATGACCTAAAATGTAATTAGTCCTTCAATGAGGGGCCAGCTGCCCCTCCATCCATAAGGTGGATTCGTCCCTGCATGTCACAATATTATTGGAGGGCTTTTTAAATTTAATTTATATTTAATTTAAATAGTTATTCTTCCAATCAAGTGGTAGTACGTAGCATCACCTGATGAAAGGAAAATAAATTGAATGGAGGGGCTTTAAGAGGAGTCAAACTCAGGTTTCCAAAGAGGCAAAGGGACATACTCAACCACTGCACCAAGACTAGTTTTTGGCATTTTGATTACAACATTCAATATTGATTTTACTCTATAATGAAGGCCAAAAAAAATGATAACAAAAAGGGGTAAACTAATAATTTATATTGGGTTGGGTCTGTTCAGTCCCCACCTTGACCTGATACGAATATACTAATATTTTAAAATAGTTAAAATAATGCACTTATAATTATTTATTATAATTTAAATAACAAAATTAATATTTTTACCTTAAACCCAATCATATTGGGTCGGATATATATATAAGGGTAAATTAATATTTTATACAGTGTTGGGTCGGGTTAGTATTTTTTACCAAATCAGATTGGGTTTAAGGTAAAAATATATTATTTTATACTTTTAAATTATAATAAATAATTATAAATGTATTTTTTAAATATTTTTAAATATTAATATATTCGTTTGGGATCGGAATAGGGTCACGTTTATGGTAAGAAATCACCAAACTAACCCAACCCAGTATAAATTATTAGTTTACCCTTTTACATTATATTTGAATATGATCGGTATAAATATTTTATTTTTGTTTTCATTTTTTTTTTGGCTTTCATTATAGGATAAAAGAAATATTGATTGTTGTAATCAAAATGCCAAAAACTAGTCTTGGTGCAGTGGTTTAGTTTGTCGCTTTTCCTTCTTGGAAACCCTATTTTGACACCCCCCAAAGTCCCTCATTCAATTTATTTTCCTTTATCAGGTAGTGTCATGTGTCACCACTTGATTAGAAGAAAAAATATTTAAATTACATATAAATTAAATTTAAAAACCCCTCCAATAATATTGTGACATGATTGAATGCATTTAAATACTTAGGTGACTTGATTGACAAAATTTCAAAAATAGTAGTAAAAATGAAAATGGGTTATAGCTAGGTGGTCACTGGTATAGTTTACCCTTACTTTTCAGGGTATTTATAAGTAGTAGTATTTATTTTGATGACTCTTAATCATTTGATAATAAATATATAAATATATTGGTAGTCTATGTGCTCGAATCTGGGACCACTAGACAGTGACAGATCTAAAAATATTTTTCAGAGTGGACACATATATATTAATTACATAAAATTTTTATACAGGATAGGTATAACTACTAAATATAAAATTATCCGAAAAAGTTGAATTTCATGATGAGTATGTGCCCACCCTAAATCCTTAATAAATCTACCACTAATCTTAGAAATAATAATTATTTGTTTAACTAATGAGGTAGCTTAATTTCTATCTATTCGTCTTTATTTTTAAAAGATAATATGTCGTTAATTTTAATATCTACAATTGTTTTGGTAAATAGTGTACGATTAAAACGAGAAAACCATGGGAATTATCTACAATTCTATTTTTATTGTCAAGTAACAGAATCCTTGATTTTTTTATATTTAAATATTTTAAATTAGAAAGTGATGTTTAATTAGATTAGCATGTGTGAAACGTGTTCATTGACTCCATCTAGATATATTTATGAATTAATTCTCGTCAAGGAAACAATAACTATGAAAAGAGTCAAAATTAACATGAATATATCTTTATCTCTTTTAAAAACTAAAATTAATTCAAAATAAAGAATGTTTGGTACGAATCAAAAGACTTCAATGATAAAAGAATTATTGTTAGCACCAAAAATATTTAAAATTGCAATAATTAGAGCCAAGAAAGATAGGAGAATGCTTTTAACAGGTCTAGAACCCATGATCTAAGGAAAAATGAAAGAATAAAGACTAATAGCTTGACCAACCAACTAAATGTATTTACGCTCTTTAGACCTTTGCCCCAACAAAGTAGGTTTCGGGGGTGCTTAGATTTTGCCTTGTTGAAAAGTTCCATCTCATGTAGGAATCATTAGCTTATTATAAAATTTATTCAAAAAGTCGAATTATTTGTTTAAATTTAAAATTTTATTCAAAATATAAAAGCATTTAATTAAAAACGTTATATCTAAGAATAAATTTGGGAAAAAAATATTTTGTTAAACATGGATAAAATTTGAATTCTAGTCTTTAAACCTTCGATCTAACCCAGTCAATTTCATGAATTTTCTAATAGATTATAGGGTTATAACATGATTGATCATTTATGTTTATGTTACTTTTTTTATTTTTTTCTCACTAATTTTAAAAATAAAACACAATATATGTTCACTTTCATTTTTATTTAATTAAGAGGTGGTCAACACGGGTTAACTGTCGTTAACAATTAACATATTAGGTGACATGACAGTTAAATATTTTCGTATAATCACACATTCCGTCCCTCTTATTTACATATTCTCAATTTATTCCTACTTTTAATAAATTAAAATAAATTTAATCTTTTAATCGAATGATGTCACGTGTCACCATTCGATTGGAATATTAACTTTACTTTAATTTAATATATTTATTTTCCACCAACCAGAGGGTGAGGGTGTTGAAAGAAAACAAAGAACAAAAAATTAGGGCTAAAGGGATTTAAACATAGGTCTTTTGGGAAATCAAACATGTACCCAACCATTGAGTCAATACCAATGCTCGATTTAAAATAGGATTAAATTTATTTTAATTTATTGAAAGTATAACTAAATTGAGAAAATATATAAATAACAAAGATTAAATGTGTGATTATAAAAAAATTGTAACTGTCATGTCACTTGATATATTAACGGTTAGCGACAGTTAATCCGTGGTGACCACATCTTAATTAAATACAAACAAAAATTATTATATATTACGTTTTTTGAAATCAGTGAGGAAAAATGGACAAAACAATAAAATAATAAGTGATCAATCATGTCGTCAACTCTAAATTATATTAATTTTTTTTATATATTATATAATTTTTATCACATAAAAATTAAATTTATAATAATATATAATGGTATAATTTAATTATTAACATTAATGTGTTTCGCCTTAGAGTACCATGCAAATTTGTCATTTCTATTGCGAAAGGAAGTCGAATGCTTGCACTCCTACAAAACTCGTATGACGGATACCTCGTGACGACTTCTTCCGTTTCTCTGTGCTGTCTTAGCGGAGGAAGCTTCATAGCGGAGGAAGCTTCATAGCGGAAAGACAGACTGACCCAAGCGAGTCGAACTTACTGCTTAATGCATTAACAAGCAATTATTGATCATATTGCTTTCGGCTTTAAGAAGCAGCCACAAGAATTGCTACTTGAATTATAAAGCATACTAATTATATATATATATATATATATATATATATATATAAAGCTAGGATCCACTTCCACCTAGTGTAATTTGTTTAGTTTTACATCTTTTTAGGGTAAATTATATGTTTAGTACCTAAAGTATTACTTTTATTCCATTTTAGAATCTAAACTTTTAATTTTTTCAAAATCATACCTAAAGTTTACTTTTTGTTTCATTTTAGTACACTGCTGTTAAAAATTTAGGTACTAAAATGAAACAAAAAGTTAATAATGAGGTACTAAAATGAAACAAAAAGTAAATGTTGGTACTAAAATGAAACAAAAAGTAAACATTAGTTATTACTTTGAAATATTGAAAGTTTAGGTACTAAAATGGAACAAAAGTGATACTTTACGTACTAAACATGCAGTTT